CTGCAGGAGAAGCAGCTGGCGGAGGCCTACGCGGAGGCCGTGGCCGTGCACCAGGAGCGGCTGCACCAGCTGGAGTTCGCCCGGAGGATGCTGGAGAAGGTACGGGGCCAGCGTCTTCCTCTCCCCTCGCCCGTCTCCTCAGGCTGGGGTTCGGCCTCCCCCAGCAGCTCTTCCAGGCTGGGCTCCGTCTCAGAGGAAGGTCCTGAGGCGTCACTGAGGGGCTCGCAGCTCAGCCGCTGGGCAGCCCCCCGTGGGAACCGGAGAGAATGCCCCCAGTCCTCAGCCTCAGGTCCCGGTCGTGGGCAAGAGCCCCCCTAGTAGTCTCCCCTCTGTCGCTCCTGGGGACTGGCCGAGGGACTCGCCAGCTTTTCCTACCCAGAGGGGTAACCCAGCATCCCCCGAGGGTGTGGACCCATTTCCGGGAGCCCGGTTGGAAGGAGAATGGGGAAAGGTTGGGAGGGAACACGTTTCCGTGCAAACGTGGCCCAGACCCCACCTTGCATCCCGCCGCCTGGGCTGGACAGGTCCTCTCTATACCCAGCACTCGCACGCCTCAGTCTCAGCTCCGCCTCCCAGACCTGATGGGGAGGCTGAGGAAGCGGGAGGGTCTGACCCTCCACAGCGCCCCCCTTCTTCCCTCCCTGCAGAAGGAGCTGAGTGAGGACATCCGGGCGGCCCACCGTGTGCGGCAGGGCTCCGAGGCCCCAGCCCAGGCAGGCGGGGAGGCAGAGGCCCTCAAGGCGCAGCTGGAGGCGGAGCGGAAGCGGGTGGCCCAGGTGCAGCGCGAGCTGCAGGGCCAGAGGGACCGGCTGCTGCAGCTGCGGACCCAGCGGCCCCTGGAGCGGCTGGAGGAGAAGGAGGTGGTGGAGGTTTACCGCGACCCCCAGCTGGAGAGCGGCCTGGCCCGGCTGAAGGCCCAGGTGGAGGACGAGGGCAGGAAGCGGGCCGGCCTGCAGGCAGACCTGGAGGTGGCGGCCCAGAGGGTCGTCCAGCTGGAGAGCCAGAGGAAGGCCGCGCAGCCTCACCTGCTGACCAAGGAGGTGACCCAGATCGAGAAGGACCCGGGCCTGGACAGCCAGGCGGCCCAGCTGAGCGGAGAGATCCAGCACCTGGGGGCTGAGAACACCGCGGTCTCCGCGCGGCTGGAGAAGCTCAAGGGCGAGCTGCTGGCCCTGGAGCAGCAGGAGGCGCCCGTGACGGAGAAGGTGGTGGTGAAGGAGGTGGTCAAGGTGGAGAAGGACCTGGAGATGGTCAAGGCGGCGCGGGCCCTGCGGCTGCAGATGGAGGAGGACGCCGCGCAGAGGAAGAGGGCGGAGCAGGCCGCGGCCGAGCTGCAGGCGCGCATCGGGCAGCTGGAGCGGGCCATCAGCAGCGTGCAGCCCAAGGTGATCGTGAAGGAGGCCAAGCGGGTGGAGCAGGACCCGGGCCTCGTCAAGGAGGCGGCCAGGCTGCGGGGCCTCCTGGAGGGCGAGCGGGGCAAGAACGCGGCGCTGGCCAAGGAGCTGCAGGAGCTGCAGGGCAAGTACCGCGAGGCCGAGAGGCAGAAGCCCAAGGTGGAGCTCCAGGAGCGCGTGCGGGAGACCTTCCTGGTGGACCCGCAGACGGAGCGGGAGATCGCACGGCTGCGCGCCGAGCTGCGGGAGACGGCCGGCCGGAGGAGCGGCGTGGAGGCGGCGGTGGAGCGGCTGCTGCCCGAGCTGGCCGTGCTGCGGGCCCAGAAGCCCCGGGTGGAGTACAAGGAGGTGACGCAGGAGGTGGTCAAGCACGAGCGGAGCCCCGAGGTGCTGCGGGAGGTGGACCGCCTGAAGGCGCAGCTCAACGAGCTGGTCAACGCCAGCGGGCGGGCCCAGGAGCAGCGCATCCGGCTGCAGGGCGAGCGTGACGAGTGGCGGCGGGAGCGGGCCAAGGTGGAGACCAAGACGGTGAGCAAGGAGGTGGTGCGGCACGCCAAGGACCCGGTGCTGGAGAAGGAGGCGGAGCGGCTGCGCCAGGAGGTGCGCGAGGCGGCGCAGAAGCGGCGGGCGGCCGAGGACCTGGTCTACGAGCTGCAGAACAAGTACCTGCTGCTGGAGCGGCGGCGGCCCGAGGAGGTGGTGGTGGTGCAGGAGGTGGTGGTCACCCAGAAGGACCCCAAGCTCCACGAGGACCACGGCCGGCTGAGCCGGAGCCTGGACGAGGAGGCGGGCCGGCGGCGGCAGCTGGAGCGGGAGGTGCAGCAGCTGCGGGCGGGCGTGGAGGAGCAGGAGGGCCTGCTCAGCTTCCGGGAGGACCGCCACAGGAAGCTGGCCGCCGAGAGCGAGCTGCGGCAGCTGAGCCTGCGCATCCAGGAGCTGGAGCGGCGGCCGCCCGCCGTGCAGGAGAAGATCATCATGGAGGAGGTGGTGCAGCTGGAGAAGGACCCGGCCCTGGAGGAGTCCGCGGGCGCCCTGCGGCAGGAGCTGGACCGGGAGAAGGCCCGCGTGGCCGAGCTGCACCGCGAGTGCAAGAACCTGCAGGTGCAGATCGACATCTTGCAGACGACCAAGCCGCAGGAGAAGACCGTCTACAAGGAGGTGATCCGGGTGGAGAAGGACCGGGTGCTGGAGGGCGAGCGGGCCCGCGTGTGGGAGATGCTCAACAGGGAGCGCGCGGGCCGGAAGGGCCGGGAGGAGGCGCTGCAGCGCCTCCGTGAGCGGATGGACCGGGCCGAGGAGCTGAGCAGGACCTGGGCCCGGGAGGAGGCCGAGCTGCAGAAGGCCCGGGCCCAGGCGAGCCAGGGCTGCAGGCAGCTGCAGCAGGAGCTGCGGGAGCTGGAGCGGCAGAAGCAGCAGCAGGTGCAGCAGCTGCAGGAGGAGGCGAAGCTGCTGAGCCAGCGGTCGGAGGGCGAGCGGCAGCGGGCCGCCCAGCAGGGCCAGGAGCTCGCGCAGCTCAAGGCGGCCATCCTCCAGGAGAAGGACCAGATCTACGCGAAGGAGAGGACCCTCTGGGACCTCCACGGCAGGGTGAGCCGCGAGGAGCTCAGCCAGGAGACCCAGACGCGGGAGACCAACCTTTCCACCAAGATCTGCATCTTGGAGCCCGAGACGGGCAAGGACCTGTCCCCGTACGAGGCCTACAAGAGGGGCATCATCGACCGCGGCCAGTACCTGCAGCTGCAGGAGCTCGAGTGCGACTGGGAGGAGGTCACCACGACGGGCCCCTGCGGGGAGGAGTCGGTGCTCCTGGACCGGAAGAGCGGGAAGCAGTACTCCATCGAGACGGCCCTGCGGTGCCGGCGCATTTCCAAGGAGGAGTACCACCTGTACCGGGACGGCAGCCTCCCCATCTCCGAGTTCGCCCTGCTCGTGGCCGGCGAGACCAAGCCCTGCCCCTCGCTCTCCATCGGCTCCATCATCTCCAAGTCCCCGCTCGCCTCCCCGGGCCCCCAGGGCTCCGGCTTCTTCTCCCCCGGCTTCTCCCTCTGCCTCGGCGACGACAGCTTCCCCATCGCCGGCGTCTACGACACCACCACCGACAACAAGTGCACCATCAAGACGGCCATGGCCAAGAGCATGCTGGACCCCATCACCGGGCAGAAGCTGCTGGAGGCGCAGGCGGCCACGGGCGGCATCGTGGACCTCCTCAGCCGCGAGCGCTACTCCGTGCACAAGGCCATGGAGCGGGGGCTGGTGGAGAACACCGCGACGCAGCGGCTGCTCAACGCCCAGAAGGCCTTCACCGGCATCGAGGACCCGGTCACCAAGAAGCGGCTGTCGGTGGGCGAGGCCGTGCAGAAGGGCTGGATGCCCCGGGACAGCGTGTTCCCGCACCTGCTGGCGCAGCACCTGACCGGGGGGCTCATCGACCCCAAGCGGACGGGCCGCATCCCCGTCCTGCAGGCCGTGCAGTCCGGCATGATCAGCGAGGAGCTGGCCCAGCTCCTGCAGGACGAGGCCGGCTACGAGAAGGATCTCACCGACCCCATCTCCAAGGAGCGGCTGAGCTACAAGGAGGCCATGGGGCGCTGCCGGAAGGACCCCCTGAGCGGCCTGCTGCTCCTGCCCGCGGCGCTGGAGGGGTACCGCTGCTGCCGCGCCGCCTCCCCCTCCGGGCGCTGACACGGCCGAGTCACGGGGCGTATGTGTGTGTGTGGGGGGGAGGCTGCAGGCACCCCTCGCCCCGGCGCAGCCTACCCCCGGGGGTGGCCTTCCCTGTCTGGTCCCTGTTCTATCCCTCAGGTTCGCGGTGTCGGGCTCCCTCCCCAGACCTGGTGCCCAATCCATCCCCAGGCCCCATCAGCAGACCTGTTCCTCCCCACCCAGCACTCGCAATAAACCAATCCTCCTGGCGTCTCATAGAGTGGGCCTGTCTGGAGATGAGTCCTTTCCACGTGGGGGGTGGGCACACCCACTGGGTCCTAGGACGGGGTGGGGGGGGGTGGAAGGTGGAGGAAGGGTGGACTCTGGAGGGATGTGCTGGCGGCCGCGGAAGGAGGGCGCAGACAGGCAAGTCCCTGCGGTGCCCCCAGCAGAAACACGGGACACTCAGAGCATCACTTTTATTTCCTGCTCTTCAGTCCAGAATCGAACAAAAGCACACACATCCTAGGCGACAACTACTCAGAACAGCCACACACACTGGGGCCAGGAACATGCCCCCTCCCTGACACCCTCCTTCCAGTGTAACTTGCGATTCAACTCTTCCCCCAAACATTTTAAATCCCGGAGACCAGCAGAGGGCAGCCTTCCCCACAGGGTGGGCCCTGCAGCATGGGCGGGCGGCACAGGCTTCCTGCTTTCCCTGACCTGCTGCCCAGTGCCAGGAGAGCCAGGGCCTAACACGCCCCTCGCACCCGGAGCTTCTGTGCCCCCGTCTTGAAACGGCACCGTCGAACCCAACAAACAACACAGGAACTCGCTAACTTGGCAGGACGAACCCACACTCGGCCCTCTGGCGGCTGATGCAGATTCCTGAGCTCTGCCCTCTCCCGGTCGGCCTGCTGGGAAGCCCTGCTGGGAAGCCGGGAGGGGGCGGCCTCGTCCTCAGCGGCAGAAGCGCTCCAGCACACACTGGTGCGGGGCCCCGGAGGGCTCGGCGGAGAAGTACGGATGGGCGAGGGCGCCCTTGGCGGAGATGCGCTGGCTGGGGTCGTACTGCAGGAGTTGCTGTGGAGGGAGGAGGAGGAGAGACTGGGCCTGGGTGTGCCAGGGTGGGAGAGGAATTACCACCCCCCAGCCGGGCGGGCCCCAAGCCCCCGAGGGCCGCCTTCAGACCCAGAACTGCACAAAGCCACCGCCTCCCAGCTCCCGAGCCAGCTCTGGACCCTCCTGGGTGTGGAGGCCAAGGCAGTGCTGGTCCAGCCCGCGGAGCCGGCCTCTGTGCTGCGGTGCCCAGGCCCAGCCTGTGTAGCCCGGACAGACGTCGCTCTGTGCACCAGCAAGTGGGGGCCAACCCCACCCGGTGGGCAGGAACCCAGACCCTCTTCCCGGCCAGGCTGGGAGCACCCACTGCCTGGGAGCAGGGCAGCCAGGGCAGCGTGGGGAGAGCTGGGCGGCAGGCTGGGCGGGCAGCCGGCACGGGGCTGGTGAGCACACGCTCTGGAAAGTGGGACACGAGGCCGGACGATGGAAACAGCCCCGCCTGCCTCCGGCCCAACACAGGTGGAAGGAAAAGGTGCCTCTGAGCCCTTGTGGGCGAGAATGGCCGGCCCTGCCGAGGCCCCGGGCAGTCTGGCCTGGCCAGCCAGAGGATCAGGATGGTGCAACAGGAGCAGCCTGGCGTGGGAGTGACCACTGTGGAAGGCGCGGTGGGGAACGCTGACGCAGGAGGGGTGGCCGCTGCCTGGAAAGGCTCACGGCTCAGATGGGAAAACGGCCAAGAACACAAGGTAACTCAGGGCAAAGGGCCAGGATCGCTGCAGAGCCCGCAAAGCCAGCTAGAAGAGACGTTTTCACGAAACGGTCAACACCGGACCTTTCCTAGGCGAAGTGTCTCCAGGTGGAACAGTCAATATGCACAGGCCAGGGCCAGGGCCGGCCAGGGTGGGCAGGGTCAGGAAGGAGGCTAGCCGGGCCCAGGAGGAGCAGGGCTGCCTGAGGCAGCGGCACACAAAGGGGACGCGGGTGGTGGGAGCAGCAGCCGCAGCAGGAGGCCGCCTCCCTGCACCCACCTGGAGCAGGTCCTTGCCCTCCGGCTCCAGGTTGGGCACCACGTCCTCCAGCCCCTTCCTTGCCCACTGGGGGAAGCTGCCCTTATAGTCGGGCAGCTGGCTGACCCCCGGCCACGTGGCTTCGCTGGGCGTCCCCAGGGTCCGAAAGATGCGGAAGAGCTGGTCGATCTCCGAGTCTCCGGGAAACAGAGCTTTGCAGGTCACCTGAGGGGGGAAGGGGCGAGGTGTGGGGTCCACCCCCTTATCACTCGGACCCCAATGCCAGATAAGAGGCCAGGCCAGCTGTGCTCTCTGGGGTAAGGCCCCACTCCCTAGCCAATCCCTTAGTGCACCTCTACAGTGACTCAGCCCCCCTCCCCGCCCCCGCCCCTCCTCGGCCCCTCCTGCGGCCAGGGCTGCCCTCTCTACCATCTCGGCGAAGATGCAGCCGATGCTCCAGATGTCCACGGCCGTGGAGTAGAACTTGCAGCCCAGGAGGATCTCGGGGGCGCGATACCAGAGCGTCACCACCTGGGGGCGGGGCAGTGGGGTCAGGGCGGCGGAGGGCACCGGGGACTTCCCCTCTCTGCCCGGCTCTCTCCCGCCCAGGGGACCTCGTGGGTGTAGGTGCGCAGGGGCACCCCGAAGGCCCGCGCCAGCCCGAAGTCCGCCAGCTTGATGGCGCCCAGCTCGTTGATGAGCAGGTTCTGGGGCTTCAGGTCCCGGTGGATGACCCGATGCGAGTGGCAGAAGTTCACCCCCTGCAGCAGCTGGAAGAGGTAGCTCTGCAACAGGGAGGCAGAGCTGGCTGAGCGGAGCGGCCTGGCTGAGGGGCAGGGAGGGGGCGCCCGGACTCCCCAGTACCTTGACCAAGTGCAGGGGGAGCTCGGCCACCGGGGTGGCGTCCAGGAACTTCTTCAGGTCCTGGCTGAGGAACTCGAACACCAGGTACAGCTTCTTCTCGCTGTGCACCACGTCCAGCAGCCTGGGGGCGGGGCGGGGTCAGGACAGGCTCCCGGGGGGACAGGCCCAGCTCCGCTCCTGCCCTCACCTGACGATGTTGGGGTGCTTCAGCTCTTTGAGCAGGGAGATCTCCCTGATGGCGGTGCTCGGGACGCCCTCGGCCTCCCTGCGGGAAGGGAGAGGAGGGCGGCTGTGGAGGCTCCTGCCCTGGGGGCGCCAGCAGGGGCTCCTCACTCCGGAAGGATGGCGCCCTCAGCGGCGGGGCCTGTGCTCGGGGACGCAGTGATCGCTGGCGGTCAGACCGGGGGCGGCGGGCGGACCCCCGGGGGCGGCGGGCAGACCCGGGGCGGCGGGCGGACCCCCGGGGCGGCGGGCGGGGGTGGGCGGACCCCCGGGGCGGCGGGCGGGGGTGGGCGGACCCCCGGGGCGGCGGGCGGACCCCCGGGCGGCGGGCGGACCCCCGGGGCGGCGGGCGGACCCCCGGGGCGGCGGGCGGGCCCGGGAGGCGCCCCGGACGCGGTGCGGCCCTGAGGGAGCCGGGCCGCACTCACAGGTCCAGCCGGATCTTCTTGAGGGCCACGAGCTGGCCGGAGTCGCGGCGCCGGGCCTTGTAGACCACGCCGTAGGTGCCCTCGCCGATCTTCTCCACCTTCTGGAACACGTCCATGCCGCTGCGGACACGCCCTCCCCGGGCCGTCTGAGCCCTCGCCCAGCCGGGGCCGCGGGAAGGCGCGCCCCCCCCCCCCCCCGGGCGCGCTACGGGGCGCCGCGGGGCCCAAACCTCCGCCGCAGCGCGGCCGGGCGGCCCGGGGGGCGGCGGGGGGAAGAGGGGGGAGGAGAGGGCAGCAAGGGCAGCTCGGGGCAGGGTCAGGGGTCCGAAGGTTCGGGGAGCAGCAGCCCCGCCCTAGACCGCACCACAGAGGGCCCGGCCCGTTTGCGGCGCTCGGCCTCCTCCGAGGGCAGAACCTCTTCGGGTCGGCCCCCCGCGTGCCGGGCCCGACCTGGGCGGAGCCGGTCCCCTCAGCCCTCACCCCTTACCCCTCACCCCTCTCCCCTCACCCCTCAGGCCTCAGCCCTCACCCCTCAGCCCTCAGGCCTCACCCCTCAGGCCTCAGCCCTCACCCCTCAGCCGGCGGCCGCCCCCTCCCGCCCCGCCTCCCAGCGGCCCGCGCCCACCACGTGCGCGGCGTCTGCGCGGCGACTCCGAGGCCGGTGACTCCGAGGCGGCGGCGCGGGCTCGGGGGACGCCTCCTCCTCTGGGCGGCTGTGGCTGTGGCGGCGGCTGTGGCTGCAGCTGTGGCGGCGGCTGTGGCGGCGGCTGTGGCGGTGGCTGTGGCGGCGGCTCTGGCGGCGGCTGTGGCTCCGGCTCCAGCCGCGGCCCCGGGGGCGGGCGGCGAGGTCGCGGGGCCGCGGTCCTAGGGGCGGCCGCCCCGGCCCCGCAGGTACAGCCTCTGCTCCCCGACGGCCCGCTCCAGCAGCGGGAGGCGCAGCCCCTCCACGCACGTCAGCACGCGGGCCCGCACCACGGGGCGGCCTGCGGGGCGCACACGCTCAGCCCGCTGTCCGCCCGGCCTCCCCCTGCCCCCTCCGCCGCCCGGCCCCTCCCTGGTCATCTTAGTCCTGAGGAGGGGTCTCCTGCCATCCCAGTTCCATCTGCACCGGGAGGGCATCCTGGCACCGCCTGGCATTGGAAATCAGGGCAACGAGCACCCCGAATGCAGGAAACCCAAAGGGGGTGGTCTTACAGGGGTGAGCCACCCACCCTGGGCGGGGAGGGGCTGCTGGCAGATCCTGGGGGCCCGGCAGGAAGGCTGGTCACTGCTCAGGCGGCAGCAGCGGCCTCTGGGGCGGCTTGCTCCTTCGCTCTCATTTCTTTCCCTCAAGGCCTCGCTGCTCCTGGCCGATCAGTGAGCACGCTCAGTGTTCTAGAACACTCCTGCTTCCTTGGATGCAATTCAGAGAGGCTCTGGGTTAAGCAACATCTAGGCTAGCCTTCCTCCCGCCCAGGCCCCCTGACTGACTGGGCACAGCCCGGGCAGAAGGCAGAGTGCGGGGCCCAGATGAACTTGTTTGGACACGAACTCCGGACAGGCCTAGGCCTTTCTGGTGACACACGTGGCCCTACATCGCTTCCCAGAGCAGCTGCGTGTGTTCGGGGCGACACGGGGGGAGAGAAGGACAATCAGTCTGATTCAGTTAAAATCTCCCAACAGGGCCCTGGCCAGCTAGCTCAGTTGACCAGAGTCGTCGCAATAGGCCACGGTGGTGGGTTCCCTCCCCAGTCAGGGCTCCGGGCGCTTACAAGGATCCACCAGTGAGAGCATGGATAAGTGGAACAACAAATTCTCTCTTCCCTCCCTCTCTTCCTCTGTAAGGTCAATCAATAAAAATTTTAAATCTCAAAATAGGATCCTAGCCCTACCTGGTTTGGCTCAGTGGATAGAGCGTCAGCCTTTGGACTGAAGGGTCCTGGGTTCAATTCCAGTCAAGGGCATTTGCCTGGGTTGTGGGCTCGAGCCCCCAGTAGGGGGCGTGCAGGAAACAGCCAATCAATGATTCTCAGAGCAAGGAGGAGGGACTGAGGTGTGAGCAGGAGATGAGGGAGGGGCGTATGGAGGTCAGACCTTCCTTCAGGAAGTTGGACTGTGAAGGGACTGTGAAGTTGGACTGTGAGGGTCCCAGCTAGGCAGGTGGCAGTGACGTTGTTGTTGTTATTATTATTACTGAGGCAGGGAAGTCAGAGCAGGGCACAAAGGCCTCAAGCTCTGCCCTCCCCTTCTCCTCAGCTGGACCATTACAGACACGACCTCCACTGCCACCTGTCCCGCCGCCTCCCCCTCCTCCATTTCCTGTCATTGAGAGGAAGAAAAAAGAAAAGAAGGAATTGATGTCTGGAGAGGAGGGACAAGGCCCAGGGGCACAGGCAGCGGCCCCACAAACGTCAGAAGCAGAGGGCCACCCTCTGCCCCTTGCCCACGCTTAACAAAAGCCTTCCTCCCAGGCCCCAGAGGCACGGCCGTTCTCCGAGGCCGCCTGCTGCCTTCTCGGTGGGCGCTGTGGCTTTACCAAGCTGACTGCTTCGCTAAACCTCTCTCGGGCCCTGACGAGGACGGGTGGGCTGAGGCCTCCCTCGGCCGCCCAGGGCCTCCCGGCATCACTGTCAATTAGGACCATTTCTTTAACGTGGAGGAGGCTCCGGGGCTCTGAGCGCCGGCGGGAAGCACCTGCGGGCGCAGGTGAAGGCTGGCTGGGAGGGCAGGCCGGGACCAGGGGCAGGGCAGCGCCTCGGCCGGGCACCTCGTGGCCCAGCCCAGAGGGAAGGCGCCTCAGACGGTGTGGACGCCGGTGCTTGGGACGGCGGCTGCTGTGGCCCAGCGACTCCGGGCACGTAGGAGGTGAGGGGTTTGCCGAAAGGGCAGGGGAGGTGATGGCGTTGGTGTCTTGCGTCACTGCCCGCCTGACACAGCCGTGTGGGTTGAGGGGCAGGGACTGAGGGGGACGTGGGAGGACTGTAGGCAGCGTGGAGGGCCCCATGAGAGGAGGGACCCCGGAATCTTTGTGCTGGGAACCCCTGGCTGCGTGACTTGCCCGTCCACAGTGGGTGGGACGGAGAGGGTGGAGGCCTGGCCTGTATCAGGCGGGAGGGAGGGAAGGCGAGGGCTGAGTCTGCCAGGAACGGAGCTGCAATGAGTGAGGTGCAGTGGGAGGAGAGCGAGCTGGAGAGAGAAGATGGAAGGAAGGGAGGAGTCCACAGTCCCGGGGCGGACGGGGGCGGACGAGAGATACGGAGAGGGACGAGCTGTTTCAGGTGGCAGAGGTGGCGCCAGGCCGGGAGGAGCCGTGGGTGTCAGGTCACAGGGAGGCAGAACTGGTACCCGGGGAGCCAGCAGGATGGGGACCCGCCTCTGCGGGGCGTGGGGTCGGGGCGCTGAGCAGGCCTCCCTGTGGGAGGTGGGGTGGGGAACACGGCCCGGGGACCAGCCAGGTGCCAGGCGGGTCCTGGAGGACCGGACAGGAGGGCAGATTCTATTAGGGACCCTGGAGCTGAGCGGGGCGAGGCTGCGCCCCAATCCCTTAGCGCCTGAATAGGACAGGAAGCCTCGAGGGCCTCTGGATGGTGCCCAACAAGGATGACACAGCCAGCGAGTTTCGAAACCTGTCCTATCGCCTCTGCAAGCTCTCGGTGTAAACACGTAGGACAGGTGACTTTGGCAGCCTCTCGTCTGTCCTCAGAACCGCCCACCTGGTCACGAGGCACAATTGGTGCCTGGTGACCTTTGTGTCCCCTCAGGACTTTGGACCTGGCCGGGGTCAGCCACGCCGCGCCCCCTCTGCCCAGCTGGGGGTGGGGTGGCCGCTTCCATGCTCAGCCACTCGGCCTGCACTCTGCCTCTGCCTCCTCCTCCTCCTCCTCAGGTTTCTTTCCTGCCTCAGCTGCAGATGACTTAGAAACTTGGGGAATGGTGTTTAAGAAAAAGGCCCTGGTCAGGCAGCTCAGCTGGTCAGAGCATCATCCAGGTATACCAAGGTTGTGGCTTCAATCCCTGGTCAGGGCACATGCAAGAATCAACCAATGAGCCAAAACCGGTTTGGCTCAGTGGTAGAGCGTTGGTCTGCGGACTGAAGGGTCCCAGGTTCGATTCCAGTCAAGGGCATGTACATTGGTTGTGGGCACATCCCCAGTGAGGGGTGTGCAAGAGGCAGCTGGTCGATGTTTCTCTCTCATTGGACGTTTCTAGCTCTCTATCTCTCTCCCTTCCTCTCCGTAAAAAATCAATAAAATATGTTAAAAATGTTTAAAATACTTTTAAAAAAATCAACCAATGAATGCATAAGAGGAACAATTCGATGTTTCTCTCATATATATATATATATATATATATAATTTAAATTCTTTGAAAACAAGGGAAGAAAAACACAGGTTGTAACTCAGTAAACTAGCGACAGGCTGGGAAGACTGCTGCCTGAGCTGAGGGCTGACAGTCCAGGCTCAGCTCCTCCCTTTTGGGCACTTCGGAGGGGGGCTGTGTGCCTTCTGAGCAATCGATTACTCACTCTGCCTCGTTAATGGCGGATGGACGGCAGGCCCAGGTGCGGCCTGGCCCCTGCACTACCACATTCCCCAGGTGCTTTCACCTGAGGAGGCTGGCACCTGGAGGCAGGCTCGGGGCCGGCAGCTGGAGGCAGGCTCAGGCCAGATTCACTCTCTCACCAGGGCTTCCGGAGAGACAGTGCTTTCTCCTGCAGTTAGTCACCGCACTGGCCCCAAAGAGCGTTCCCTCACAGTCATGTGGTTTCCCTGAGGTACAATCCAAACAGAGAAAGGCCGATAACAGCAAGGGAAGGAGGCCACGGGTGAGTAAGGCTACCAGGAGCAAACAGCCAGCCAGGCCCAGGCTCCCGGATTCCACACCAGAGGCTGGTTCTCCAGGAAGCGGCATTATTTTCACAAAAAGAAAGGAAAGCAGAGGACAGAGCTGTAGAGATAACAGATACTTGGGGGGGGGGGGTGTGTGATCTGAGCGCACTTCGTGAACTTCGGGGCCTGGTGTGAGCTGCCAGCTTGTCTGTTTATTTGGTTTTTTTGGGGGGGGGGCGCGGGGGGGACACAACACGGGAGAGATTACATATATGGAGAATGGCTATTGTTTTTGTTGGGTGTGACTGGTGGTGGGAGAGAGACATACTGAGGTATTTGTGGGTCAAATGAGACCATGTCCCATGTTTGCTTTAAAACACACCAGGGCTACAACCGTGGATGGCTGCATCATATTCTACCGAGCAAATGTACCAGACTTGCTCTAACCAATAACCGGTGTACAGTGTACTTATAAGAGCAAAGAATTAAAACAACATGAATGTCCAATGGCCACACGAATTTAGGTCACACGTCTAATCTATAAAATATTATATGGCCATTAAACACTATACCTAGGAATATGTGATATAATGTGAAGCCAAAATAACCAGGCCCAACATCGTATAACATCCAACATGAGAAGGAAAATGGCCCTGGGGCAGCCACATGGGCGGCAGAGGATGGAGCACCTGAGTTTTAAAGAGCAACCTGCAACTCTGGAAGCCAAAGTTCTCTCAGGCTGCTTCTATTCCGCCCCTGTGTCCTACTTCTCTCTTTTTGAAAAAAAAAAATATATTTTTTATTGATTTCAGAGAGAAAGGGAGAGGGGAGAGAAAGAGAAAGAGAGAAAAAGAGAGAGGAACATCAATGATAAGAGAGAATCATTGATCGGCTGCCTCCTGCGCGCCCCTTACTGGGGATCAAACCCACAACCCAGGACTGTGCCCTTGACCAGAATGGAACCCAGGACCCCTCAGTCCACAGGCTGACACTCTATCCACTGAGCCACACCAGCTAGGGCTGTCCTATTTCTCTTACCCTGACTTTGGGATGGTTAGTCCAGCCCCGCCCTCTCTGAGCCCTGGTTTCCTCACCTATGAACTTGCAATAAGAGGACTCAGGAGAAGGGCTGGTGGGCAGATTCAGAAGAGTTAAGCACACCTGGCACAGGCCGGGACTAGACTGCTTTCCGAAATGAATGGTATCTCTCCCCTCAGTGCCCTGCAGCAGATCGACTCTGAGCCCAATCACGTTTCCCATGAGCCCTTGCACTGTGGGGTGATTTGGGAGGAGTGTTATCCCCCGTGAGGGACACTGTTGGGTCAGAAACCAGGCCCAGTGCCAACCGAGTCGTGAGGCCGCTTACCCTCCTGCTGGTCCAGCTCCCCGAGCACCAGGTAGAGGCAGCCCGCCTGGGCCTGGAACGGCTCCACCAGCTTGGTGCACACCAGGACCTGGTGCTGCTCCGAGCCCTGCTGAGCCGTCAGCGTCGCTCGGGACTCGGTCACGTCGTAGAGGCTCAACCTGGAAGGCGGGGAAAGTGCGATCGTTTCTCTCCTCGGACACAACCGCCACAGAGCTTGGAGCTGAACAGGTTTTGGGAGGGAAAACGGCCAGCCGTACTTTGACCAGACAAAATAAAAAATGGCAGCAACAAATCAGGAAAACTGTTGAGGTAAAAATTACCTGCATCAAAAAACACTTGTCCAACAAGTCTTGACAAAAACACACACTTGGTGTAACCACCAACCCAGTCAAGGTTTAGTACATGTCTATCACCCCAACGTTCCCTGAGTCTTATCGCCAAACATGTGACCCAGTCACCCGGAAGCAGATCCTCCAGGTCCCGTCCAGCCTTCAGGTGTTGGCCCAGCTAGTCCCAAGTTCCTGACCCACCGGAACTATAAAACATAAGCTTTTGTTTTGTATGATTGTGGTGTGTTGTTTTGTTCCTTTTTGTTTTTGTTTTGAGAGAGGGAAAGAGAGAGAGAAACATCGATGTGAGAGAAACACATGGACTGGTTGCCTCCCGCATGAGTCCTGACCAGGGCCTCGGCCAGGGGGAGCCTGCAACCCAGGTATGTTCCCCTGACCAGAATCGAACCCGGGTCCCTTTGGTCCGCAGGCCTATGCTCTATCCACTGAGCCAAACTGGCCAGGCTGTGGTGTTTTCTTTAAGAGAAAGTTGGGAGAGGGAGAAAGAAAGAGAAACATCAATGCAAGAGAAAGAGAGAGAGAGAGAGAGAGAGAGAGAGAGATACATCCAGGAGTCGGTTCCCTTCCTTATGTGCCCTGACCAGAGATTGAACCCGAAACCTGGGTGGCTGCCTGAGACCCTTTGGTAAATGAGATGCTGCTTGAGCCACACGGGCCAGGGCAGAGATCATAAGCTTTCACTCTCCTTTTAAGCCACTAAATTTGGGGGTAATTGGTTACATGGCAATAAAATAACTGACTCGTAGTATACATGTGTGTACGCATGTATACATAGTGTATATACATACCCACCCACATATCCATACATACACGTACACACATGAAAAATGTAAACACAAAAACATGAGCAGTGGCTGTTCAGACAGGATCACAGGTGATGCTTGATTGCTTTCTTTACACTTTTATAAACTGTCTACATTTTTTTTACAATGAATGCATATTAAGTTTTTAATCATTTTTAAGTAGACAGAATGATGACTATTTTCATTGTGTGTTTTGGGGGGAGGCAGCCACTTAAACATCCCCCCCACCTTATGGAAAAACCAGCCTCTCACCTGCCAAACGTCCGCAGGGCGTCCCCGTCGGGAGCCTGGCTGAGCTCCCAGGGGAAGTAGTAGGTCCCCGGCTTGGGCAGAGTCATGGCGCCTGTCACTGAGGCGCGGGGATGGGCTTTTGAAGATTCCTGACAAACCAAGCATAGCACAAGGCGGGATTAACGGATGCCTGAGAGCCACAACCAGCGGACGGTGGTTAAAATAAAATAAATCTTTTTGATAGGTTTCGTCTTCACTTATTTTGGAAAAAACAACACACAAAAAACGTACAAAAGCTCTACGTGGAGGAATCTTGTTCCTACTCCAACCCCTGTGCAACCCATTCCCTCCCTTCTTCCCGGACTGGGCGGGGATGGGGTCTGTCAAGGGGCAGGAAGCAATCTGACACCTGCCAATCGCAGTATGAAAACACGACACCTGGACCGAGGAGACAGGTCACCTTTCTCCTCTCACGGCCATGTCTATTGTAGGCTAAGCTGCCAGTCACAACGCCATCACGTTTTAGTTTTAAAGGTAGCACACAGCAGAATTGATTCTTTGGGGGCACAAACTTACACACACAGCCTCAGCTTTTCCTTTTCAAACAGAAATTGCTATGCATTTACTAAGACAAGCACAGCTGGCTGCATACATCACCAGCCACATATCACACTTTCCATAGCGTTTCCAAGATCTATCAGGATGGGCTTCTCTTCCACTCACTGGATTTCAACTAAGCTCCCTAGGAGTCTGAGCAGGGGTGCCCTGTAACTGAGGGCCCTGCCCTTGTCGTTTCCAAGACACTTCTGGGAGAGAAAAAAAAATCCCTGGCAGGAACAAGAGAAATCCTATTTTTTTAAGGACTGATAAGTTTGGTGAACCAATTTGACCACTTCTTCCATCTCTCCTGAAGTAATTGCCAAGATTTGTGGGGTCGGGCTGAAAGTCGGAGAAGGAAGGCCTGTAATCAAGTTCATCAGAGCTTTTATCAGCTTTGGCTTTGTTTCTTGAAGACAAGAACCTTGCCTGTGGATGTTGGTTATGAAAGGAGATAACTTGGCAACAGGCTCATGGAAGAGGGCACAGGGCAAGGTGTGTGGGAAGCATGTGTGTGTGTGTGTGTGTGTGTGTGTGTGTGTGTGTGTCTATCCACTGAGCCACACCGGTTAGGGCTCAATATTCACTGAATGGATGCAGAAGAGAGTGAACTCCAAAACCATGTACCCCCGCACTGAGCTGAGATACAGAGAACCCAACCACACCTGACTGCCTACATGAAAGTGACTGTGCTCTGCTGTCCTCACTGGCATTTCTTTGCTCTTCCTCCACCGCCCAGGCCCAGCAAATGAGTATCAACAGCCAGTTTGCCCGCTGAGATTCCTTTGAAGTGTGGAAGCAATCATCTCAGGTAGAAACTGCTGTTTGGGTTCTGTACTTGTTTGCTAAAACAATAGAACGTTATTTTGATTTTCTGAACGTATGGATGCTGTCCCAATACTCCATGGATGACGGTTTGAATGTCCCACTGATTGTGATCTCACTAGTCATCCAAGCACATTCTTCTGGGACCCAGGATAGCTCAATTATCCTAAATTGTCTCAGGAGTTACAGATAACTGAGTTTCGGTTGACTCAGTGGTCCCGGAATCAGAAGAGCACAAATTATCCTAAATCGCTTCAGCAGCTAAAGACAATGCTTTCCTGTTGACTCAGTGGTCCCAGAATCTGGACAGCACAGTTATTCTGAATTGCCCGGGTGGTCCCAGAGAATGTGTTTCTGTTGATTCAGTGATGCGTAGATACTTTAGGTAACTAATTTGCTCAATTTCGCTTCTGTAAAAGCTTTGCACGAAACAGGTTCCTCACCCCAGACCCAGAGACGCAGTTGACACCTTTGTGATATTCTGCCCATAGAAGCCGGATGTGGCGAGCTGTTCGGGCTGCGAGATCTGAGCTTTAGCCCCTCGTATGCCGCCGGCCTTTCATAAATGACTCCATAAATGTGACTTCTAAGGCGTCCTTTGTCAGATGGGGGAACACTACAACGCTTTGAATTCCCTCCCCTTACTGTTTCCCCCAAGTTCGGACTGTTGTACAGCCATTCTCTGGGGGCACACACTTCTATGGGCTTCTCCAATCCTAATCAAGACTCAAAACTGGCCTTAAACCAAACTTCCAGTTCTCAGGAAGCCCTGGCCTTACCTCCTCCTCTCGGAGACACTGCCCAGGTTTTGCCGAGGAGCGCGCTCCTTGCCCGAGGAAGCAGTAAACGTGGCTTTGTTGGTAATCTGCTGAGCCAGTTTTTGCCAAGAGGATAACAATCTAAGCACAGCAGCCAAGATAAATATTTTAATGCCTAGGAACATTAAACATTAAAAACAACATCAGAAATAGTGCCTTCCCCCAAAATACCAGAGCTTGAGACAAAACAATCAGAAGTCATGAACCTGTATTTATGTAAAATTCTGCTATTTTGTTCACTGTGGATTTCTTGCATTAATTTTGATTTTTTAAAAATGTCCTATTAAAACACCGTTCCTCTTAATTTTTTGGTACTTCCTCCCACTTTGTGATGGAGGTGAATGATTCACTCATTGTACTCTATTCCCAGTGCTGGAAGGAACAGAGAATTAAATTTAGTTTTGTGGACAGAAAAAAAAAAATAGGTTCTAAGGAAAGTTAACTTCACAGGGTGATCTGATCATAAATCCCTAAATGGGCAGGTCATCATGGTGGGCAATGACTTCCCATGCCTGTAACTTCTGTAGTAGAAGGTTTTAAGCCCTGTCCTTTGTCCCTGTGCAGCTAAGTTAACTCAGCTTTGAAATACGCAAAGTCACCCTCAAGAGAGCACATAACATTGATAACGGTCCTGTAATCCAATCCCCTCTTGCTTTTCTCCCCACTTCCATGTAATCTTCCTTACATCTTCTCCTTTCATTCCAGATACATAAAAGCTGCAAAACTGTTCTCCGGAGCATTTGAGACCTTGCTTCCCCTAAAATGGCGTCAATTTGGCTTAAATAGACTCATAAAAATTCTCTACAGGTTTGGCCATTTCTTACATTTTTAAAAACAGGATTAAGGATGTTGATGACATTATAAAGGTAAGTTAGGGAGATATAAAGGGGATGGTGTAGTGTGCTTTATATCTTAATTATCATGGCATTAAGCCAAAGGCTAACGAAAACGAACGCATAAACAGCGTCTAAGTGTTTTTCTTATCAGCTTTTTAGGAACCAGAACTAAGAGCACAACTGATGAAAAGTGGCTGCTTCTGAGACTGACCTTTGCTTTTCGTTCCAAACCCTCCTGTTCTTGGTCTTTAAAAAACGTGTGCATTTACAACGTGCATGACGACGATGGCAATTGTGAAAACAATCAGGTGGATTCCAAGATCTCTAAGTGCAGGGCTAGCTCGGTCTCATTCCAAGTCCGAGCCCACCACCAGCCCAAACCCAGTTCCCAGCGCCTGCGCCCCTGGCAGCCAAGATGCCGCGATCTTAAAGGACAACCAGAGCCTCTCCCCGGCGGTACTTCTGTCCCCGTCCTTTTCCGACCCAATCTGGGCGGCTTTGGGGGAGCCCTGCGACCTCCCTTAGCAACTGCGCAAAGCCCACGGCTTCCCCACCCCCGGGACCTTGAGTCTCCTTCCCCGCTCTTTCCCCGGGAGGCCTTTGCGCGTGGACCCGGAAGCCGGCAGGGCGGCCAAGTCCCAAGGCGCAGGCGCAATCCGCCTCTACCTCGTTGTCCCGCCCCTTCCCACGCCTCCAGCCAACCTGTTTGGGCGTCCGGGCCGTCTTTTGCTTCCTGTTTCCGCCCCGCGTGATCGCGCGGCTAGGGGCGGTACTGAGCGCGCCGCACGTCCCCCTCCCTCCGGACAACTGCTTGAGCAGCTTCCGGGGTCTCTTCCGCGGGTTTGGGGGGGTCGGGTCAGGGGGTCCCCGGGCCGAGAGGTGGGGATTCGCCTTCCCGGGGGCCGGCCTGAGTGAAGGAGCCCCTCCGGCGCCGCCGCCGCCTCGGCTAAGGCCGCTCTCACGCCCGGCAGCCGCGGAAGCGGAGGGGGCGGGCCCGGGGCGGGGGCTCGCGCGGTCCCGGGGCAGCTCCCGGGCACGGCCCGCGCCGGACAGTCTGACAACCTTAGTCGACGCCGCCTCGGCCTCCGCTGCTTCCGATGGCTGTCACCATGAACCAGGACCTGCGGCGGGAGCGGGCCTCCGCCAGCTTCAACCCCGAGCTGCTCACGCACATCCTGGACGGCAGCCCGGAGAACACCCGGCGACGCCGAGAGATCGGTGAGGGCTGCGGGCCTGGCCTCCCTCGATACCGCCTGGGGGTGCCCCTTAGGACATAGGCTCTGGCCCAGCTTTAGGGGAGCCGGGACCCCCATTTCTGGGGCGGCCTTTGGCGGGGGGTGGGAGGTGGGGGGAATCGCCCATCCGCAGAGGGGACCGGGGCCGGGACTCTGAGCTCAGCTGTGATTCAGGGCGGTGTAACGGAGCCCAGAATGTCTGTCTTCGTCTTGATGCCCTTTACTCCCTTCCAGAGAACCTGATTCTCAACGACCCAGACTTCAAGCACGAGGACTTGAACTTCCTCACGCGCAGCCAGCGGTACGAGGTGGCTGTGAGGAAGAGTGCCACCTTGGTGAAGAAGATCAGGGAGTTTGGCATCTCAGACCCTGATGAAATCATGTGGTTTAAAAAGTAGGTATGCCGTAGCGCAGATCCCGTGTTCGCGGGTGACCAAAGCCCAGACTTTAAATCCGCGGCCTGTGGGTGCTTGCTCCTTGGGCTTTGGCGCAGGAAGACCCGACAGGCCTGTTTGCACGCCCCTGCAGAGCTGTGTGTGTGGAAGGGAATGCCGACCTTTGTACCCAAGCCTTTGGAAAGAATGACATTGTGGAATGCTGATTAGGCATTGGTGACCCTGCAGTTTTCTTTCTCAATCGCACAGATTCTTGCCGCCTGGAGGCTCCGTTTGAGTGATTCCCATTCAGAATGCCTCGGGCCCCCTTCGTGGGAAGGAGGTTTGCTCCCTGTAGGTGCTGGATTCTGAGGGAATTTTCCGTAGCGAGACCAAACATCAGTAAATATTTCATAGCAATGACATTGTGTTTTTCTATGGTAGTGTAGATCTTGAGTTTTAAATAATGGATAACGGGGGATGGATGAAGAACTTTAGTCAAACTTCAGGATGAATAGAAAGCACCCTAAGAATCCGGCATTGTTGAGTCTGGTGGCAGTGGTAACTGGTTCTCTGGTGCATATGAGGCCTCCGAGGTCCAGTGCTGAGCAGATTACCTTCCTTTTTTCCGTGTGTGTTTGTTTTTTTAATTGGAAAAAAAAGACAATCTGTGTTTTGTTTTGTTTTGTTTGTGTGTGGGGAGTTTTTTTGTTTGTTTTTTGTTTTTTGTTTTTAATTGGAAAAAAATGCTCTTTGTCTTTGCTTTTATCTAAGCAAACAGTCTGTAATTACATGATCTAATTAATACAAGATTCCCTTTGGCCTGTAGCACCCCTTCCACTTCTCATTTTTTCCTGGGCATTTCCTCTTTTAGGTTTCTATATTTTAGAAGAACTTCATTATTTTCATCAATAAAGATGAAATATGATGAGTAGCGTATACTCAAAAGCCAAGAAAAAATGAAACGTTTCAAGTTTTGCCTTTATATGGTATCTAGAGGCCTGGTGCACGAAATTCATGCAGGGGTAGAGTCCCTAGGCCTGGCCTGCGATTTAGGGCCAATCAGCGCCTTTTGGCTGCTAGCTGGGGGGGCCTTCCTTCATCCCACACCGCCCCCTGGTGGTCAGCGCATGTCATAGAGAGTGATCAAACTCCAAGTCCAACTCCCAAGGGGACACTTTGTTTATTAGCCTTTTATATATATAGATAGTCATGTCTCCCATAATACTGCCTGTAGTTCATTTGGTATCTAATTTTTTTCTAATTTTTATTTTTTAAGAGTCGAAGGGAGAGAGAGATAGAAACATCAGTAATGAGAGAGACTATTGATCGGCTGCCTCCTGCACACCTCCTTCCCCACTTACTGGGGATCAAGCCTGCAACCAGGGTATGTGCCCTGACCTGGAATTGAACCACGACCTCCCTGGTTCATAGGTTGATACTCAACCACTGAGCCTCGCTGACCAGGCTGGTATCTAATTTATTAACCTCACTATTCTTGTCAGCATAAAATAATTTACTGTGGCCCTTAGCACTACCCTCAGAATTTCTTTCCATTTTTGTTATAAAACTACAATTTACTTTTGGTAGCCCAAATTAAGAGTACTTACTTCCAAATGCTCTTTTTTATTTTTAAAGTTAGTAGCTGGGGAGATACTGAGGTGGAGCAGTGATTTTCAGCCCTTTTCCTCTCATGTCACACATTAACTCGTTACTAAAATTCTGTGGCACACCAAAAAACTTTCTATTTTTTGCTAACCTGACACAAAGAAAAGGTATAATTTTTATTCATTTACGCCAGATGACTTGCGTTGGCTGTTGTCATTTTTTTATTTGGCAAGTTAATAGAGGTCAGTGCCCCTGACTAAATGGTCAGATATTATATGTTGCTGTTGTTTTTTTAGAGGCTCTTAAATTTCCCTTTAATTTTTTAATTGATTTTAGCGGGAGGGAGAGAAACATTGATTTGTCCCACTTATTTATGCATTTATTGGTGAGTTTTATATGTGCCCTGACTGGAGATCAAACCCCAGATTTTGGCATGTCAGGACAGTGCTCCAACCAGCTGTGCTACCTGACCAGAGCTTGTGACACACCAGTGCGCCTCTTGCCGCACACCTGCTGAAAACCACTGAGCAGAGCAACTCCCTGGAAGATCATGTTTCTGAATTACCCAACATGGGTAATATTATTAAGGTTTTATTTGTCCTTAAGATAACACATTAAGAGAGGTTTATTTTGTTTTGCTTTTAAATGGTTGATGCAATGTAGTTAGGAGTTGGTTAGATGATTTCATCATCTGTGATGGTAATCAAGTGAAGTCATGAGGAAATAGGACAAAGTCCTTCATGTGGGTTAAAGATTAGTGGACAGCAGGCAGTTTGATATTATTATTATGCCCTTGACCGGAATCGAACCCAGGACCTCTCAGTCCGCAGGCCGACGCTCTATCCACTGAGCCAAACCGGTCCCGGCTATTATTTTTTAAAATATATTTTATTGTTTTTTTTACAAAGGGGAAGGGAGAAGGATAGAGAGTTAGAAACATCGATGAGAGAGAAACATTAATCAACTGCCTCCTGCATACTTCCCACTGGGAATGTGCCTGCAACCAAGATACATGCCCTTGACCGGAATCGAACCTGGGACCTTTCAGTCCGCAGGCCGATGCTCTATCCACTGAGCCAAACCAGTTAGGGCGGCAGTTTGGTATTATTTTTCATGACGTAGACCTTGCTATTTGGGGATTAAAGGACAAACTTTAACTTGCCTTTGACATTCTTCCAATATCCGTAGGATAAGACAGGGAGATCAATATGTTAGCGAAGGGGATTGAAAAGTAATCTTGGCAAGTATTGAGTGCCAAGTCTTAAGCCTCCTTTGAACGTAACTGATACCCATGTCTTACATAACTGAGACGGGTAACTCCGACAGCTTCAATTGTGAGGTCCATCAGATTTCTTAAATGCTAACATTGGGGTGGGGTGTGCTAGAATTGATGGAAAATTAGAATATTTCTCTCTCTGGGGATTTTGGGCGTTTACTGGTCTATTACATCCACTTCTATCAAAATGTAACCCCCTTTTGAAGGTGACTGAATATTAGTAAAACAACTTCAAAATTTCTCAACTTGAGCAACAACAGAATTCTTCAGTCTTTGGGAAACTAAGACCTTGCTGTTGGGGGGGATATAAAAGCTGTTTTTCTAATCTCCTTTCCTGTAATTTTGTCTGTTAACTAGACTATTTGCTGTGAAAAAACGAAACCTTCTTAAGAGTAATTTAAAATTCTAATGAGAATCAGCCATGAATTTTGTTTTCTTTTTTAGGTTTTTATTTATTTTTTATTGGTTTTGAGAGAGAGAGGAACATTGATTCGTTGCTGCACTTGTTTATGTCTCGTTGGTCACAGTCCGTCCCCTGACCAGGGGTGGGACCGCACCTGGCGGGGCAGGACCGCTCTAACCCAGCTCTCACCCACCGAGCTACCTGGCAGGGCCCTTTGGCTTTCAGAGCCGGTTCCCTGGAGCGTCTTCAGGAGAGATGGGCATAACTTGAAAACAAGTGCTCAGCCCTAACTGTTTTTCTCAGTGGTTAGAGCGTCAGCCTTTGGACTGAAGGGTCTTGGGTTCGATTCCTAGTCAAGGGCACATACTTCGGTTGCAGACTTGATCCTGGCAACCAGTCTGTGTGTCTCTCTCGCATCAATGTTTCTCTTTCTCTCCCACACCCCTACTTCCCCTCTATTCTCTATAAAAAAAAAAAAATCAATCAATCAATCAATCAATAGGAAAAATATCCCTGGGTGAGGATTAAAAAAACAAGTACTCAGATTTTTGTTCTTACGTTGATTTTCTTCCTCTTTTTAATTTTTTTTTTAATTGATATCAGAGAGGAAGGGAGAGGGAGAGAGAGAAACATCAGTGATGAGAGAGAATCATTGATCAGCTGCTTCCTGGGGACCAAGCCTGCAACCCGGGCATGTGCCCTGACTGGGAATCGAACCACTGACCTCCTGGTTCATAGGTTGACACTCAACCACTGAGCCACGTCGGTTGGGCATTAAGTTGATTTTCAAGGGGCCTCCAAAAAAAACAAAAACAAAAACAAAAAAACCCCACACAGCTCAGTATGTTATTAAGAACATAAATATCATGCAGTCTTTATTTTGTGTCACATTTTCCCTTCTCAGTTCCCTAGAATTTTGTGTGTGCCATTGTCATTTTATAAACCCACAACCTCAGTTCCCTCTTGAAAGTAGGAGTGTCATTTTTTTTTGGGCACCATTTCTAGCACCTGAGTGACTGTTTGTATTTCTCAGAAATCTCATTTCCTCGTTTGGTAAGGCACTCGTTAGGGAGTGCTCTGAGTCTCGCCCTGCGTTTGACAATGACTTCCACACTCAGCTGCGTATTGACTTTGGCTCCTGTGTCGGTGAGGTGTGAGGCGTGTTACTTCCTGCAGTGAAGCGCAGTCCCCTCTTCTGTTCACACCCGTCCCCTCTCTCCACAGTCTCAGTCACGTTGATATAAAAACCAGAGACCGTGGGTGATGGCTAGTCCAGGTGTTACTGGGTGTGTGTCTGTCCCAGCACCTCTGGAGGGTGGTGATTCCAGGGCCTCTGCAGAAGTGAAAAGGGCAGCTACCCTCTTGTCCCTGCATTCACGCTCTGCCCGTACAGACGGGACCCTGGCGGACACCCCTCCTCTCCAGCCCTTGAGAAGTCACGAGCATCAGCTGTTTATTTTGAACTTCAGCTCCTTAGACAGACGGACAAACTCGGCTCCTATGACACCCATCATGCACTGTAGCCAAGGCTGGCTGTGTAGTTTGTATTCTGATTATTTCACAGCTTCTGTTCTCTGAGAAAACAGTGGGAGACTGAATTGTATTATGGCGAGGATTCCTTTAGTCCAGAATAATTTTCAGAGACCACTGGCCATAGTTTGAACAGGCTCCCAGTACCTTCTAGACCATCTGTGAACTGAAGGCCTTAACCACCCCCGCCCCGGACCATAGAG